TCCACTATTTGTTTGACACGCATTTTAAGAAATTATAAATGAAAGAATAATTTTATTATATCACTCTTTAAATATAATAAATACAATATCTTAAAAAATATAATAGAAAAATAAATGATAAGGAAAAATTAAAAATTAAGTATATAATTATCCATAAATTTTATAAAGTAAATAAGTATTATTGGACATCTACCCTTTTTAATATAATTAACAAGTATTATTAGACGGAGGATATAATAAACAACTACGGTTGGAATACTAGTTTTTATACATTGGAAATGATGAGAATAATGATTAAAGTGTTTGAGTTTGTGTTGCATGACTCTTCGTCTTCTCCCTCTCCATTAAATTACTTTACTTTACTACTTATAAATATAAAATAAATAAAAGAAACGTATCTATATATCGTCAGACTAGTTTGAAGATGGAAGATGGTAGTCCAAGAACCTGTTCCCAACCCCAAGGTATGTATTTTAGTACTAGATTCTTAAGGCCCGTGATACGGGCCCAATATAATCTATTATTAATTGTTATTTAACAAATATTAAAAGGTATTCTATAGCATTCTGATCAACATTAATTAATACTGATCCTGGTAAAAAACTTAGTAAAAAAAATATTAAAATAACCATCAAACAATATAGTGCATCACCAAATTGAATGGTGTTGCTCCTTCCTTAATTAAATATCTTAATTTTGAGTTTTGGATATGAAAAAAATTCTTAATAAGGAGCACTATATCCGAATAGGCATCAACATCGGCGCACATTAGAATTAATCGAACTTCAATATGAATATCGAATACTGAATAAAAAATATTAAATTAAATTAACCAAAAAATATTTTTAAGTATAATTCATATTAACGATGGGTAGATTCATTTTTTAAGTTGTAAAACACTCGAGTTTATATTTAATTATTATTTTTACTATAATGACACAAATTTATTAGGATTTGAAGTTAATTTGTCTCTTAGATTGAATTATATCTTATCTTATATAAAAATCAGGAATCATTATTTATTATCATTTTGATATTTATCCTATTCATTTCAATTAATCTTTCATATTTTTCTTTATAATCTGTTAAAAAGTAATGTTGCTTTTCTTTTCTTAATTCTAACTCCACGTAACATATTTAAAATTACAAGATTAAAAGGCATTTAGTATATTTCACATATGTTTAATTTGAAACCACAAATTCAAAAATCTTCTTTAATTTCTTAAACTTCATGTCAAGTCAAAATAGAACAAACAAATTAAAATGAAGAGATTAATATTTTTTATTTATCATTCACACATAAACTATCACATGAAGTTCTATATATGTATAATTCAACTTAATGAACATAATTATTTTAGCATGATACAATATGTGTTTTGGGTTCTCTTTTTTCATGCACAATAAGTCTTTTTGACCAGTTTAGTGAAAAAATTGCAAACAATTTCAAAACATAAATGCATTTTCTCTTTCTTTCTTTTTTTAAAAAAATAAATCTATTTAGAATTAAATGTTAAATTAACATGATATTTTGATACATAGTTCATTACAGATCATATTGATTTCCTTGCCCAGTTATTTTTATCTTATTCCAAAATTTATTCATAATTTTTAAAAATTTTATTAGACATTTCCTATTTTTGTCATCTCTTTCTAAATATTAATCTACTTAAATTTATTTACTTTTATAATTAATGTATTGATTTTCATGTGTTTCAATTCTTAACTTCTTATTTCAGACAAAAGAATAGCAATATTAAGTAAATAAAGTAAATAATCTATTGTAAATAATTAAATATTAATCTGATTAATCTTAAAATTTAAAATATTTTGTTATTGAAATATTTTTATCATTAATGTACGTAAATTGAACATAAAGAATATTTATTATTTCTCTTCAATATTTGATTCGCAAAATTTTAAAACTATTTATTTTAAAATTTTGTGAGATTCTCAGTTTACTTTAATTTTATTTAATTTATCTATCCATTTTATTTATTTATTAATTTTTATTTTTACGCTCCCTAATTAAAGTATTTTTATTTTCATTTAATACATTTAAAATCATTTTTGTTTCGTTTTATACTTATTTTAGTGCAAAAAGTAAAGGTGTTAATGTAATATAAATTGATTTAAAATATGGGTCCCACCATTTTTAGATTGTATGGCTACTTATGATATTTTTTATGCTTTTCATGTTAGGAAGTACACGTGGTCATCATAATAATAGCAACTTGGTTGAGTATTTGGAAAATTCAATAATTGTGCAGCAGGAAGTACAACTATTCTAAGCTGATAATTTTGGTAAAATGACAAAAGTGTCCTTGGTCGTCCTCCTCATCACATTTCATATAATATTAATCATTATTTGACAAATATTAAAAGGTATTTCTATAGCATTCTGATCAACATTAATTAATATTGATCCTGGTAAAAAATTTAGTATTAAAAAATATCAAAAAATAACCATCAAAGAATATAGTGCATTGAATGGTGTTTCTCCTTCCTTAATTAAATATCTTAATTTTGAGTTTTGGATATGAAAAAAATTCTTAATAGAGAGCTCTAAATCCGAATGGGCAACTCCAATATAAATATCGAATACTGAATAAAACATATTAAATTAAATTAACCCAATAATATTTTAAAGTATAATTGATATTAGCGATGGGTAGATTCATTTTTTAAGTTGTAAAACTCTGAAGTATAATATTCAATTTATTTATTTATTACTATAAGACACAAATTTAGTAGGATTCAGAGTTAATTTGTCTGTTAGATTGAATTATATCTTATATAAAAATCATGAATCATTATGTATTATCATCCTGAAATCTATCCTATTCATTTCAATTAATCTGTCGAATTTTTCTTTATAATCTATTAAAACGTAATGTCCCTTTTCTTTTCTTAGTTCCAACTCCACATAACATATTTCAGATCACAAGATTAAAAGACATTTACTACATTTCACATATTTAAAATTTAAAATCACAAGATTCAAATATCTTCCTTAATTTCTTAAACTTCATGCCAAGTCAATATAGAACAAACACATTAAAACAGAGAGATTAATATTTTTTTATTTATCACTCATACATAAAAATTAGAACTAAGAAGCATGTTTCACTATTACATGAAGTTCTATATATGCATAATTTGTCTTAATGAACATAATTTTTTTAGCATGATACAAATGTGTTTTTGGTTCTCTTTTTTCATGCACAATAACTTATAGGAACAAGTATTTTTGTTATTTTTATCAGTTTAGTGAAAAAATTTCAAACAATCTGAAAACATAAATGCATTTTCTCTGTTTTAAAAAAAATCTATTTAGAATTAAATGCTAAATTAGCATGATGTTTTAATACATAGATCATTACATATCGTATTGATTTCCTCATCCAGATATTTTATCTTATTCCAAAATTTATTAATAATTTTTAAAATTACTATTAATCATTTGCTATTTTTGTCATCTCTTTCTAAATATTAATCTACTTAAATTTATTTTACTTCTCTAATTAATGTATTGATTTTTCATGTGTTCCGATTCTTAACTTCTTATTTCAAACAAAAGAATAGCAATATTAAGTAAATAAAGTAAACAATCTGATTAATCTTAAAATTTAAAATGTTCTATTATCAAAATATTCTTATCATTAATGTACGTAAATTGAACACGAAAAATACTTATTATTTCTCTTTATATTTGATTCGCAAAATTTTAAAACTATTTACTTAAAAATTTAGTTAGTTTCTTAGTTTACTTTAATTTCATTTAATTTATCTATCCATTTTATTTATTAATTTTTATTTTTATGTAAATATTTTTATTTTTTAATATATTTTAAATCATGTTTGTTTCTTTTTATATTTATTTTAGTGCAAAAAGTAAAGGTGTTAATGAAATATAAATTGATTCAATAAGTGGGTCCCACCATTTTTAGATAGTACGGCTACTTATCTTTTCATGATAGAAAGTACACGTGGCCATCATAATAATAGCAACTTGGTTGGGTATTTGGGAAATTCAATAATTTTGCAGCAGAAAGTACAATTGTTTTAAGCTGATAATTTTGGTAAAATGACAAAAGTGCCTCTGGTCGTCTTCACTCATCCATATAATAGAAAAAAAAAATTGTTGGTAAGGATATGAAGCGTTAAAAAATTATTTAAAGCATGAATGGAAATTTCTAGAGAAACATAGTTTGACATTTATATTTGATATTTTTGCCACGTGGAAAGAATTTGGGGACAAGTACAATTATAACAAAAATTAAATTAAAAAATATTGTCTAAATAACAAATATACCCTTAAAGATCTTTCTAGATCTAGTCCCATTAGATATCCATCGATTCTGCTTCTTCATCTTTCTTTTTCCAAACAAGCACCCTCTTATTGTTGTTGTTTCTTCTTTGCATCTAATTTTACTTTCTTGACGAAATAACAATGTAAGGTTAAATTTTTGAAACAAATGGTTAACAAGGTAAGAAAATTATGTGAATTAGTGCAGATGAAATTTTTTTATGAAACAAGCCCACTCACTTTCCCTGCAACTCCAAACAATTCCTTCTCTCTCTTATATTCCTATCCCTCGATCTCTAACTGTATTTTTTCCTCCAAAATTATGAAAATGTTTGTCCATTTATTATTTCCTACAAAATATTTTCATCAAATTCACACCCTTCATTATATTTGGGAACAAAACTACAGAGTAATTGAAAGAGAGAACACAAGATTCTAAGAAAATTGAGTGAGTTGATGTAGACATTTTTATGGATATTAATTATAACTACAGTGTGATATTCGAATTGAGGGACATGTTCATATGATCTTGAACAACAACCTTAATATGAATGAAGAAGAAAGCATTTGAGAAATTTTAAAGAAAAAACATAGTCATACCTTGTATTACTTCTAGAAAAAATGAAAATTGAAAAGATCTTTTTAATTTATTTTTTGGTCAACGAAAGAAAGAGACTCTTGCTGATTAGGAATGGAAAAGAAAGGTCCATGTCCTTTTAGAAATCCATTCTAATAGTTAAGGAATAATTACTATTCTGCCCTTCAATAAATTAGATTTTTGAAATTGCCATTGGTCGTCGTCATGGTCGTCTTCACATTTCTATATAATAGAAATATATATATATGTAAATAAGTTACAAACAGCATTGTTGATTGTGAGATAATGCTAAGGAGAGGAAAATTGATACCTGCAGCTGCTGGTGGTTCATCTATTAACAAAAAAATGATTAAGAAAAACAGAGCTAGTTCGGAAAAAGTTGGTGCCTGGAGCAAAGAGGATGAAATCACAATCCTAAAGGGACTCATAAAGTTGAAAACTGAAAAAGGGAAAATTAGGTTAGATTATGTTCAACTTTATGATTCCATTAAACAATCTCTTGGTCACAAATCAGCCATACCACTTCATTTGCAAAAAAAAGTCAAGTATCTTAGGGAGAAATACAAGAACAATTTAAAGAACAGCAGGACTCCTACCATCCCACATGAGGAAGAGTTGTTCTACTTAAGTGACAAAATTTGGGGCAAGGACGATCATCACATCATGAACCAACAACTTACAATTCCTTCTTCCAGTTTGGATATGAACCAACAATTTACAATTTCTTCTCCGGAAGAATCTGATACAACTTTTATCGGAGACCTAGGGCTAGCGTTAACAACTATGAGCAGGAATCAGTCTAATCCACTGCAAGTAGCTCTTCAACAATTCAAGTTAGTTTCTCAAAGTTTGAGTGTTAGGAAGAGTTATGCCAACCAAATACTCCAGGCCCCAAAAAAGGTAGTATATATAATCCTTTTCATTTTCTTATCAACTAATGTGATGGTTTACTAGTTTGTTTTAAAGATTTTTACGCTTCTCATGTTATTAAATTCCTCTCCTTGGCTTAAAAATTAAATTGTGTATCTGAGTACTGTTGTTGAACTTCACTGTCTATGCGATTTTATGATTTATATTTTGCTATGCTAAACTTCTTTGTCTTGGTACCTTCCAAGTGCGTCTATTTTTTTTTCTTACCAATAACTTTTATACAAGGAGGAACTTTCTGAACTAGAGGAACAAAAGATAGCAAGGAGCTATTTCGACACAAAGATACAACATGCACAATTGGTTTCAGATGCCTATAATGCTAACCATGGTTTTGGTAAGCTTTCTATCTAGCTAAGAATATCTAGTTTTCATAGTGTGTAAGGGGAAAATTAATCTTATATTGATGTTGATATATACTTGTTATTGCTTGGAATGATCTGAATCTGAAGCACTTTTAGGAGTTAGATTCATTGATGATCTATTGGGGCTTTTATTTTCAAATTAAGTAGTGTCTTTTTGTGCATGATTCCAGTTTTAAAAATAGCCACTGGTGCCAAATAGGGTTCTGCATAAGCATTAACAAGCTTTTCACATGTGGCGTTTCCTTTCAAGTGGTCTCTTGGGCCTTGCTCTCTTCCTGTTCACTTTATCGAGTTATAAGCAATTATTTTGTTGTTAGTGAGCTAAATTAATTAGGACCATTTCAACAAACTTCTGGCACCGAAAAAACAATAATGATATCAATCCCAATTGTTAGCCTAACTTTGCCGTCCATGATTAGTCCAAATTATATTAAGATTCGGTCCTTGTTATCCACATGCCCTAGAAGTGGTTTTGCCCTATTCACAAACTTTACGGTGCATCAAAGAATATGTGTTCAGCAGGGGCATAAAAGATAGAAAATATAGTTTCTGTAGAACTTATTTCTACAGTTTTGTAGACTTTCTAATATATGCATAATACATAAACATACTCAAACTTAGCGTCTTAGCCTAACCTGACAAATAAACACTTAAACTTTGAGAGTGCACATCTAGACACCTCAACTTGGTCTCAACTAACAACTAAATACTCCAACTCTACTCCATTGTGTCTCGTGGACACTCAAATTTGACATGACGCATAAATATTAGAGGTGTCTAGATGATAATTTTGTAAGTTGGAGTGTTCAACTGTCACACTGGAGATGAGTTGAGTTGTCTAGATGTGCCTACTCAAAGTGGGAGTGCTTACTTGCCAACTGAGGTGAAGTGTGAGTGTCACTTAATGTATTATGCCTTTTATCTACGCTTTAACTTCAATTTTGTTAATTTATTGTGGAATGAACCTTTAGGAACTCGATCCCAACTGGATTCATTCCTTCATTTGAAAGAACCATACTAAATTAACCTTCATAGAACATATCACCAAATTCATTTTTCTGGTAATTTCATACTTATTTGCTAAAGGGAAAAGAAATGAACAAGTTGTCCCCTAAATAGGGGTAACAATCCTTAGGGACTCCTAACCTTAAACATCTAGCCCTTTCTGATTTTGCGTGATCAGGTCCATCTACATGAAACTATGTGATGTAGTTTGGCATAACTTCTTCAGTAGGGGTCACATAAGTGATGGTACTAACAATTGGATTTGGTGTCTGTCTGGCTTGCATTTCTGCTGCCAAAAGATTGTGGATCAACTAGCACACAATCACACACAAAGCTAATAGAGAAGAAAAATAACACGAGAATTTAACGAAGTTTGACTAAGCCTAATCCTCCAAATAGAAGCAGAGAGTTTTCCACTATGAAAGAGAAGAAGTGTACAACGCTAATTAATCCCCAACTACAACCCCTATATAGAGACCTCAAATAGTCCAAACCTATAAAAGAAAGGTTCTTCCAATCCTACATGAACAATGTATTTTACTTTCCCAAATCTATTAGGACAATGAGTTTCCTAATCATACAAGGGTAAAATTCAAGGCATAATTAAGAAATATTACCCTTGGCTTGAATTCTCTTCATCAACATGAATGTCTCTTTGCCTTGCCCTGAACCCTAAAACGGGATCTACTGAGTACTGCACCAATCAAATATAGGCAATGCGTAAACTTGTTGACCGAGACTGCCTTGGTCATCATATCCTCCAAAATATCATGTGTAGACAGCTTCTTCACATCAACAACCCCTTTGCAGCCTATTACCTTTTGTTCCTTTGGCAATGAACCAAGCTTCCATGCTTGATGAAGAGAATAATACCAACCCACTAATCAACTTCAGAACTAAAAATAACTTCTTTAATGCTATTAGGCTCAAGCACATCAATTGTCTCTGCAACTGACAGCAAATTTTACAAGATTTGCATATCCAAGAAGATTCCCATCAAACTACATTTGCACACCTTTTTGGTCGGTTGATCACTCTCTTCTCTTCTCTTCGCCTGTTGTAATGCTTTATGATTGTTGTTGCATAGGTGAATCGACATTATCTTGATTAAGGTTTTTCACCTCCTTCACTTCTGAACTACTGGGTGGTCACTGATCTGTTTTTGGTATTGCCTTCTCTCTCTGACAGTCCAGTGAGGCAGATTCATTGAATGTCATATCCCTACTAATAATTAACACTGCAGCCTTCTAATCTGCGCACTACAACTTGTAACCTTTCACTCCAGTTGCATACCCTAGAAATATGCACGTCTTTGCCCTCGGCTTAAGTTTGCCATCCTTCACATGAGCATAAGTAGGACAATCAAATATCCTCAAATTTGAATAATCAGCAGGCAAATTGGATCATATATCAAAAAGGGTTTTGAATTCAATATCTATGGATGGAGATCTGTTGATTGAATGACAAGCTCTATTGACTGCTTCAGCCAAAAAAACCTTGCTAACATATGAGTGTGAAATAATGCTTCGTGCCTTGTCACTAAGTGTTATGTTCATACGTTCTGCAACATCATTTTTTGTTGTGTTCCATCACAAAATTGGTGTCTCACTATGCCCTCTCTGCTGCATCAATCATTGATGAGTTGCAAATTCAAACCTATTGTCTGTCCGAAGACACTTGACTTTTCTTTCAGTCTTCATCCAGTGTTATCAAAAGCAAAAAGAACAAAAAAAGCTTTATGTTTATTGTTGCTTTAAGTGCAAAATGCAAATAAAGTGTGGAATTTAAAGAAATAAGACATTAAGGGAGAAGAAAAAATACAAATTTGTATATAAGTAATCATCAATCAAAGTCATAATATTTGGCAATACTCTTGGAGGGAACTCTCTTTGGAGCCCACAAGTCTCAATGTATATAATCTAAATTTGTTTTTGGTCTTGTGCTCTGCCTTCTTGTTCAACTTCACCATTGTTTGCTTACCAAAACACACAATGTAACAAAAATTCAAAACTTGATTTTTGTATTCATCCAACAAATTCTGCTTGCTCAACAAAGACAATCCTTTGTCACTTATATGACCAAATCGCAAGTGTCACAATTGAGACTGATTCTGATCACTCTTTTCAGAAGGTACAATTGCTTTTGTATCAACTACTCTAGCTTGAAGATAGTATAATATAGGATGCAACTTACCCTTCATAAGTACCATGGGCCCTTTACACACTTTAAGTGTCCCATTACTTGAGTGAAACTTATACCCTCGATCATCCGAAGTCGAAAGAGAAAACAACTTTTTCTTCATTCGAGGAACACACCAAACTCATTATTTTTAATATTCCATTAATGCACAATGACCTACACCTTTAAGAGAAGATTTAATATGAAAAATTCATTATCCTCATTCTTGTTTTAGGTCCTAGAACCCTAGTTATGGAGTTTAGTTATTCTAACTTTATGCAAAGAATAGGAGAACTGTCTAACTAAATAACACTAAGATAAAGAGAAACATTATGAACCTTGAATTAAAACTCAGTTCTTGCAATTTTAGAGTACATCATTAGTGTTCTTACAATAATTCCATTCACAATTCTAGGAAGAATGATGAAAGAATTGCAAGATTCTACAAGATAATGCTAGTAATAACTCTCCAAAAATAGTTGATGTTAATTCCTAATGATATCATGATAATCAAAACCCTAGAAAAGATCTATTTATAGACCATGTGAGAAATACATGAGAAAAATATTATTGAATTGTGTATCTACATTATTACACAGAGACTCTATTTATAGAAACTACAATATAATCATTTACCAAGTAGGATACTATTTACTATTCCTATTCCTATTACTACTCCTATTCTTATTCCTATTCCTATTTCTATTCCCATTCTAAGTAGGATTGTATATACCTATTCCTATTCTAACACTCCCCCTCAAGCTAGTGCATACAAGTCATATGTACCTAGCTTGTTACAAATGGAATTAATACGAGGACCCATGAGGGGCTTGGTGAGATATCTACAAGTTGATCACTTGACTTCACAAAATTAATAGCCAATCTCAATGGCTTAGTCTTCTCATGAAATGTTGGATTTAATGCATAATGCTAAATAATCTCAATGTGCCTGGTCTTCTCATGAAATATTGAATTTGATACATAATGTCGATAAAACACAGAGTGATAAAATTATAATGTTGCACTTCCCAAATCAAACTTGAGAAGACAAGATTGTTTCCGACCATAGAGTGACTACACAATCGACATACAAGGCTACCGGATTCCTCCTAAACAACAAAATTAGGTGCTTGCTCCATATAGACTTCTTCCTCGAGATCACCGTGGAAAAAAACATTCTTAATGTCCAACTGATTAAAAGATCAATGACGAATGATAACCATAGAAAGGTTCTTCCAATCCTACAAGGACAATGTATTTTTTCCCCCAAATCTATCAGGACAATGGGTTTCGTAAACCAATAGAGATTAGTTTTTCTTAATATACAAGAGAAAAATTCAAGATATAATTAGCAACCTACTTAATTGGACTTCTTTGTCTTCAAATGGAAGGAAATGGGCCAACGTAATGATGATCCTATGCCATTGTAATCTCCATGTCGAAGAGCCAAAAAAGTTATATTTCAAGTACTTTTAGTAATAGTAGTCTCATCACAAAACAAACAACAAACCTGTAGCAGGGTAAGTCGATCCAATATAGGTGATATAAGCTAACATGAACTCGTTTTCTTCAGTATAATATGTGGGAGGATTTATATGCGATGAACAACTCCACGAGTCTTGTCTTAAAAATAATTGTGCAACAACTATGTTTAATAACAAGCTAGTTATCTATGAAAATTCTGTATTACCACTTAATTTATACCTTCATAATAACATTTTATTTGAGCTACCAAGATTTGCGATAAGGAGAATGTTCAAAGATTCTTTGTTTTTATCTCCGTGAGGTTAACTATAAGATAGACCATTCAAGAAAGTTCTTTAGCTACTAGAAAAGTGTAGTGTGCTTTGTTGCACCTGAAATATCTGCGAGTAGGTCTATATTGTCTTCTCCATGTGTCCTGTAGGCAGGGGTGAATCTAGTAAAATGGGAGTGGGTGCCATGTTACGCGCACACCTCGGTTGGAATTTTGTGTGTGTGTGTGTGTATATATATATATATGTTCATTCTGTCCACAGGGAATGAGAACGAGCCCAGCATGCTACACTTCTATAGAACTATTTTGTCTTTTACATTGAATAAGCTTACAACTTTACGAGAGATTAGTCCTCTTTTTTTCTTTTTCTATTTTGCTTTTTATTTTCTTTCTTTTTCTTTATTTGTTGTTGAATCTTTATTCCATATGAGTTCCTTTTTTTTTTTTTTTTTTTTTTTTTGTATATTACTAATTCTTTCTTCTGTTTTTTAAGTTCATAGAGTTTATTAAGTTTTTGCTTTGAGCATCTTAAATATGCATTTATAGTAACTTTTAGTTCTAGACGTCCATCCTTGTAATGTTATAAATACATAATATAATTTTGTTGATATTTGTAATATTATTGAATTTCTATGTTTGTCCAAAATTATCACAACTATCAATTTTTTTTGTTCGATTGACTTGTCTATATAAATAAAAAAGATAGATAATCCGAACCAAAGCTCTAAATAGATCAAATCAAAAAATAGTGTGGCACCCAAAATTTCAAAATCCTAGATCCGCCTCTGCATATAGGTTCATGAGTTCAAGCCGTGGAAGCAACCACTAATGCTTGCATTTTGTTAGGCTGTCCACCTCACTCCCCTTGTGGTGTAGACCTTCCCCCGACCCTGCTAACGTGTGATGTTTTGTGCACCGGACTGCTATTTATGTTGATATTTCTTGTTCACCATTTAAAGAAATGTATGCATATGTGCCGTTCCCTGAATACTTAGGTGTGGAGAGTTTTAATTCTATGATTTGAGTTATATGACATGGAGTATCCGCATGGTAAAAACAAATGTTACTTTGGAAGATTGACAATATTAGTAATCCACATCGTACTGTCATCTTAGACCTTTTATGCCTAACTTACATGGTGGGAGATTGAAAGGTTAATCTTACGTCGTATCCTCAGGAGGCTCTCTTATAAATATAGTATCTGATTGCGTACTCAAGGAAGATACACCAAAGGCTATGAATGAGGGGAACTGTCCAACGGCTACAATTGGATGTTGGAAACCAATCACTGGAAAGTAAGCTTTTTTATTATTTCCTTTTGTTTCCCTTTCAAGTTTTCCTTTTCGACAGTATTACATGACTTGCAAGATGTACTAGGATAAGTCAGTTTAAGGCAAGTCTGCCGGTAGGAATTTTTCATGCATATTATGTTTTTTTCATTAGTGTACTACGATCTTTGCATTAATATTTTATCTTCTTCTGTTTACTGCTGGATTAATGGATGACTTTAGGTAGTTTTTACATTAAGTTTCTCGTGTAACTGGTTTCCCCTTGCGCTATGAATATGCAGATCTTCAGACACAAGTCCCAAATCAGTAAGTGAAAGGTGGCATTTGCAGGAGAAAAAGAGAAAAAAGAAAAAAAAGAAAAGGAAGATCGAAAACCAAGAAAAGCATCGTGACTCAAGTATACAATCTCAGTTGGAGATGGAAAATCGGAGCGCAGTTGCTAATGCTAAGGATATCAACGAGAGTGCCACATCATCACAGATGCATACGTTACCGGATGGACTAACTGTTGAGGTGATGGTGAAGGGAAAAGTGGACGGGAAAGTAGCTTCTCCAGGAAAACAGGTGATTTTATTTGAAAATTCAAATAGAGATGGTGCAAACGTCATGCTGCTGAATGATCCTTTCTTTTGTCCAGATCAAAATTCATTTCATCGCCAAATTAAGAGATACAGGATGCACTGTTGGCTCAACCATTGGTGCAGCTCCTCATCAATTTTGTCTAGGTCTCTCTCTCTCTACTCTCGCACACAATCACTGCTCTGCTCCACCATTAACTTAACTGATTATCCCTTTATATTCTTATTTTGATGTCATTGATCAGGTTACGAAAAAGTGTTAAAGGGATTGAACATTGGCATTGAAGGTAATCATTTTCGTTGACTGAAACTATTTTCTTTATATCTCAAGCATTCTATTATGGCTAAGCTATAACCTTATAGGCATGCATGTTGGTGAAAAGAGAAGACTCACTATTCCACCATCTTTGGGGTATATATACAAATCATTGCTGAAATGCTCTTTTTTAAAACTTGTTTGTTGTGATTCCAACACTTAAACATTTCTCTGCTCTCGTGCCTTTTGTCGGTGCAGCCCTGGGAGCAAGGCTAAGCCTCCAATAATGCCAGACTCATGGCTTCTGTATGAAGTTGAATTGGTTGATATATGTGAATGAAGATAATATGTTGAAGTTACTCCATTCAACAGTGAAAGGAATTTTGCTTGCTGAGGTAATTCTCTGAAGAGCTGTCTTATAATTAGCTGATAACTGCATTTTAGATGTTCTCAGTTCTGGTGATGATATATATATATATATATATATATATATATATATATATATATATATATATATATTAGCTTTTTGACAACATTAAGGTTTTTGATTGCTCACTTTGCATATTGAACTTAGAGACCTACATTGAGAGATGATGTACTTTTCAGTGACTGCTGATGATTGAATTAGGGTTGGGTGGTTAACATGACCTACCCCACACTTAGAATCTTGCTCGTTCTTGAGCAATTAATTATTAAAACTCATTTCAATAATTCAAGCTTCGGAACACCCCACGACTTTGGTTGATACAAATAATTAGGCCATCTAGCAACTTCATCATATCAAACAACAAACATCTAATCTCCTAACCTCAAAAATGGATTCTAACTCATCAAAATTAAGCTTGCTTACCGACTTTGTCAAAGAAAGTAAATAACATTACCTATCTATAATAAACAAGTACCCTTAAGAAGAAATAATCCAAACACTCAAATCAAAGAATGAACGTAATAAGGACTTAGGATCGAAGCACAATTCTCACTTAGAGACAAACTCTAAATCATCAAATGTAAGCTTGCTCACCAACAATGTCAAAGAAAGTAAATGACATCGCCTATATATTATGAAACAAGTACCCTCACAAGAAGTAATAGTCCATACATTCAAATCAAAGAATGAATGTAAAAAGGACTTAGCATCAAAGCACAACTCTCTTGCTCACAAAAAAATTCATATATATGCACAAAGAACCATTGACTTGTCCATTATGTATATCCCCACTAGTTAAGCATGATGAATAGAATCAAAAAGGACTTTAATGGGTTGTATTTTTGGCTAAGGGATGAGTAGGCCAACTATGATAGTGACTTACACTTCCCTAAGCACGTTAAACTTTCTACACTTCATTACCCATTATTCTTTTCTTGAACTTATCAGCTCTCTTCATCAATTATATCACTAGTAATTCTCATCATATCAAGGACGTTTCAATCTAACTTCTTTTTCATTTTTTTTCTCTTCATCACTTTGTAGCTATCATTGATCACCTTTTTCACTCGACCATCCCTTCCTTCACATTTAACAATTATATCATAGTCTACAATGCTCAAGGAAGTAAGGTGCAAAAACTAGAATAAAACAAATTGAATCAAGGTAAAAATGCAACTAACAAATTAAAGGCTACAGGCTTAAAGGGCTAGCTAGTGGTAACAATATCTTAATAGACTAACTTCACAAGACATATCAAAGAAAGCTTATTATCATCTTCTAAACTGAACAACACTTTTCATTTCTCTTAAATAACATACTAAGAAGTTTTAGACTAAGATACAAAACCATAGAATATATGCAAGAAATCCTCCCCTCTCATGGAACATGTCTTAATCAAGTTGGATCAATTCTACTTTAAAAAAATCTGGGTTATCACAAACTACAAAATAAGAATAAGCTATATATAGAGTCACTATCATGAACCGAGGTGTCAAAATGTCTGCTATTTTATAACACTCCAGCAACCAAGGTGTCAAAAAGTCCGCTATTTTATTAACACTCCAACACTCACAAGGAAAGTAATATTCAAGCTCAAGTCTAAGTTACTGGTGTAGCTTTAGTCTAAACTTTGTTAAAAATTCATTAAATATGTAAAAGTTATTTAGATTAGAATGGAACTTGAAAGAACTCAGAAGTTTAAAATTTTGGCTCCACCTGGGATGTGCAGTGTAGATTATGTGTTTATGCCAAGAAAATATTTCCTTCTTATCTCCCATTCGTGAATTTTCCTTTCCATTTTATCTGAACTCTTGTAATCGTTGTCCTAACAAACTTGAAAATAGTACGGGCTTTCAATCGTCAAACTATTTTTCGATAGAATTCCAACTTGGAATTTGCTGCAGAGCAGATGTATCTTGCTGCAACTTTTTATTACTTTGTTTTTCCTTAAATAATTGTTGATGATGTTCATTATTTTACATTGATGAAGTTATTCAATACGACAATTTCCCCCATGCTCCGTGGTTCTTGTCCTTGTGTTATTCGTTTTATGTCAATTCATCAAAAATTATAAATTTGACAATATTATTCTTTTATTCATGTACAGGGTGATAGTTGAAGAATGATGTTGGCCAACTATATGTTTTTGCTATTGATGTATGTAAGTTGGTCACTAAAGCCATCTGCGATGTTCTTTTGGGGTTATCTAAAAACCGTTGATTTGTTGTTGACTGCTAGACATACTATTGGTAGCTTGATGTGTTTAAGCACTAGGCATTATATGGCTAACTAAGTTAAGGTTTTAGTTGTTCTTTTTTTGATTAAGGAAGCTGTGTATTCACAATAGGCTCATCATCAAATACACACCAAGTATACAGAGAAACATGTTCCACAAGTTTGTAACTACTTAGCAATGGAGGAAAAGATGTCCACTAACTTCTCCATCTTGATCACACGTGAAGCACCTTGAACATATTTCTCTTCCTTTTTATGAAGCACTTCATGAGTCAAACATGCCCTTCTGCACCAACCAAGCAAAACATGAAATCTTTAAAAGTATTTTTATCTTCCAAATTAATTTCCATGGCCAAAATGTAATTATAATTTTGTGATGGTATAATGGTAAGAAATCAACTAAGAAATCAAGAATGCGGACTTGTTCATTGTAGTAGGTTAGAACAAATGGGTGGATGATTCTACAAAATCTACTAAAAGAGTTTGTAGTATCAAATGTAACAATTAAACTAAACTTCGGAAATTCAAGTAATTAACAAGTAATCTAGGGGTGTAGGGATTGGAAATTGATGTCACGTAAGGGTAATTGTGTTGCTCAATAGTGCTAAACATTCATGGATATGTTGGGTCATCTTCAATGACACTAATCTTCTTTTAATCTCATAGTATTAATTCATAGAATCTCCTTTCGATCTCATCTATATGCATGCCTAAACATCCTATTACCTTACGATATAATAGATCTGAACTATAATCCCTCTTTCAAGCAAACTATAGACATCAAACCTAAATTGCATGTATCAAACTAATTACTGTAACACCTCGGAAACTAGTAGGTTAAACTAGAGCTAAACGTGAGGGTTAATGTCAAGGAAGAAGGGCTAGAGGCAAGGAAAATTGGCAAGGGCCCAAGAGTTGGCCAAGGCACTGCCCCCACCTCCATGACCCGTGGTGGGCTAAGCAGTAGCCTCCCCAAAATCTGCCCAAAAGTTGCTCCTTTTCACGACCCACTGCATAGCTCGTGGTGAAGACCATGGCTCATGGGAAGGCTCGTGGAAGGGAGTTGGTGGTGTGAGGGTTGAGAGAAGTGGCTTAGCCATTGCCTCAAGGCCCACGAGAGGGACCACGACTCGTGGCTAGCACCACGGCTCGTGGAGCCCCTCGTGAAGATGCCTTGGGCTTGTGGGCTAAAGGCATATGTTGCCTAGCCACTGCCTCAAGTCCACGAAGGGGACCACGACCACGGCTCGTGGAGCCCCACGTGGTGCCTAGGCAACCCACTTAAAATGGAGGTTATTTTGGGAAATTTCTTTTAAGTTAGTATTAAGTGAGGTCGTTTACCTTACTTTTATATACCTATATAAGTCTTTTAAGTCAAAATACACCCATTCACCTCATTATTTCCCAAAACCCAAATCAAATCCCAAGGAATGTTCACCTTCTCCAAATATTCTCTCTAGAACTTCAAGGAAGAAGAAGAAGGAAGTTGGAGCTAGGGTTCAAGGAACAAGGGTTTCTACTCAAATTCATTGCATTCCATTGTTAAGGTATGGTAGCTCTTCATCCATAGAGTCCCTTCAAAACCCCAATTTCAAAACTAGAAATTCCCAAATGTTAGAGTTTGATTCAAAAGTCATGGGTTCCTTTGAAAATCATTTCTAACGATTGAATTATGATATATTATGTATGAATTGATGATTTCCTATGATTTTTATCTTGTATTCCCAAGAACCCATGAAACCCCCATATTTCTCAATTATGATCTTCTGATGTGGGTTTGTTGATGATAGAAGTATGTTATGAAATTATGCATATAGTAATTGGGTTACTTGAATTATGATTATATCTATGTCTAATGTAGTGAATTCTAGATGTGTTGATTGAATGGGATCTTAGATCTATGAAGGGTAAGATATGAGAATTTTACATGATTATGAGATTTATGTATATGCTTTAAGAACACTTTAAGAGTGAAGTTTCTATGATTATGATGTAATTGTGGTGTTGTTGAAAGGCTATTCTCACATACACACTTATGCATGACTATGAATGAAGTGTCCATGATTATGATAATGTAGTTGTGTTAATTGAAAGACTATTCTCATGAACACATAATGAACATGATGTGAAAGGTTTTCTCACAATATGATGATTCTAAGGCTGAAAGGCTTTCTCACCTATTTGAATCTATATGTAGACATGAACGGTAAAAGGTTATTCTCACGCATGATCTAAGAGCTATCCTAATGAACTAAGTTGGGTTGATTGTCAAAATACATCCCTCCATGAAACAAGTTATGGCTTAATAAGTACTCCGTGGGATTAATGCTTAGCACCGAGTGGATATTGAATATGAGATGGAAGCTCTTCCGTCAGAAAGGTCAGGTTTCTAGAAGCAATCTCATGAGATAGAAGCTCTTCTGTTAGAAAGGTCAGGTTTCTAGTAACAATCTCCTTATCCCATAAACTACGTGCCCCTGTAGGATATTTAGCTAGTGGATCCACCTAAGCTAACAAACCATGGTTCTACCTTAGGCAAGTAAGACAACCCTTTTCGGTGTGGGTAACACTGGGTAATCATGTTATAGCTCACATTGTCTCATGTCGGTTAAGGCTTATTCCCACAACAATAAGAACAATAATATGAATGATGGCCTTAAGAGTTTTACTTAACATGGGTGAGATTTATGGGGTCTTATTCATGCATTGCACAAGTATGCTTTAA